TGGAAGTTATTACCTTTTACCTCTGAACCATCGTTCTGTCTTTCATCACAGGTATATTGGTGAAACACTTCTGCAAACCATCATTATTCGTAGAGAACTAATTTTCGAGGTTTCCGTAGATAGATCAATCCACGAATTTTACATCCAACAAAATCTCATTTCGTCTTCTGTAAGATATTTTTGCATTTACATTAAAAAAAACATTCTACGACTTTACGAAGAACCCTTGAAAATTTACTTTGCGACAAAACCAAGAAATTTCATACCTTTGAAATTAAGTGAATACACAGTATACAACTGTTAAAAAAATATTCATAGTAACTTGCTAATGGCACCTGAATTTACCTTTACAAATGGTACCTGAATCTACTTATACAAATAGCACCTGATCTACCTATACAAGTTGCACCTAAATCTACCTATAAAGTTCATCCTGGGTCTACTTATACAAATGGCCACTGAACCTACCTATACAAATGGCACCTGAATCGTAATAAACAAATGGCACCTAAACCTACCTTTACAAATGACACCTGAATCTACCAAAAGAAATGGCATTTGACTCTACCTATACAAATGTCACTTGAACCTACATTTTCAAATGGCACCTGAATCTACCTATACAAATGGCACCTGAATCTTCCATTACAAAGGGCACCTGTGTCTACCTGCAAATGGCACCTGAACCTACCTTAACAAATGATAGCTGAATCAACATAAAGTTATGGCACCTGAATCTACCTATAATTATGGCACCTGAATCTACCCATACAAATCACATCTGAATCTGCCCATAGAAATGACACCTGAGTCTACCTATACAAATAGCACATTAATCTACCTATACAAAATGGCTCTTGATTCTTTATTTACAAATGGCACCTGAATCTACCTTTACAAATTGCAACTTAAATTACCTATACAAATTGCACCTGAATCTACTTAAACAAATGGCACATTAACCTACCTTAACAAATGACAGCTGAATCTACATAACGACATTGCACTTAAGAGGGGCAAGGAGAGAATTGTGGGCGGCCAAAAGAGGTCACCAACGATGAAACTGCCGAAGCTGTGAACGTTCTGGGCATATACAACAGAAGGGGAGACTTGCGAAGCATTGCAAGGGGTATAAGTTGGTATAAGCTTTGGTTCAGTTCTCCTTGTCCCTCTTAAATTCAGCAGCCCATTTTTCACAGTGCTATAGGAAGGGGACTCCTTCCCAAGTAGATCCCTGAAGTCTTCATGGATTCTCTTGGGGGCATCCCTTTCTTACAGGGGTACTTAATGACGGCTCTGATTTAAACTTTCTCCATTTGGTCTTAATGACATGACACACTCCTCTACTGATCAAAGTGTGTTTTATGTTACTAAATCTGTGTAAAACTGCGTGTAACTCGGTCAGTCATCTTCAATAACATATCGGTATCAACGCATCGTGTGTAAATGTCAGTATAGTGGCTAAAAGTATATCGGGCCAAGAACTTTTTGATCATACCTCGTACTTTCAGACAAGAAGCTTTTCTACCTCCGTGGCCTACTTATGGTTCAGACCGGAACCAACTATGGCAGATTACCACCCTATTATCATTCCTGTAAAGTTTGGTTACTGTGTTTGACGACACACAAAGGGCGGTTGGGGGATCACAATAGCTCACCACGTTGTGCTCAGGTGAACTGAAAAGGGAGAGCTATTGTACCCGCCCAGGTGTCGGCGTGAAACTTTGGTTAAGTTTTTGTGTGCTAGTTGGTATCTCCAAAACTACTGAAGGAAATGGGTTCAGATGTTTGTTCTCTGTAATTATCTATCATGGTTGGCACAAGTCCCTTAATTCTGATTTGCTTTTTTACATATTAATGTCCCTTTTTTGTCTAAAATAATAATGGTCAATAATAATTTGCAAGTTAGCTAGTATCTCTTTAACTGCTGAAGAGAATGGGTTGAAACTTCACAGTTATTTGGTAGCATAATAGGTGATCAATATCTAAGGCCCATAACTCTAACATGAATTTTAACCGAATTATGGCCCTATTGGAACTTTAAAAATTACATTATCCAGGCTAGTATTTTCCCATCAAGAACTGATAATAAGGGAGCGTGCTCTCCTATCGACAGCTCTTATTTGAATTATTGCCATAAACCGCAAAGCAAATGAAAGATTTTTAAAAATGTTGCAGAAAGTTTTAGAAATATTGTGTTATATTTTGATGATAAAATTCCTATTATTTATGATTTAAATTTACAAAAGTTACGAGATTTTATGGTATGATATTGTGTTCATATTTGATAAAAATTATGTTTGTTTTAAATCAAATGACGCCCTTTATCATTCTATAAATAGCTATGTTGTCATTTGTCATATCATTTTTGAACAAATGATATCAATGTTTTACATATTACTTACTTTTTGAAATAAAGTTGTTTTAAAGTTGTGAATGTTTATAGCCTGACTGTTCTAATGTGTTAATAAAAGTTTGTATTCTACTAACATTTTAGATTATTTACATTGTTTATTTGATTTTATAAATGACAAAATTAAACTGGCTTTAGATTATACTAACATATTCTTATTTACAACACTTTGAAATGTACATAAATTGCAGACACTATAAACCATAAAAATAGAACATAGAAAATTTCATTTAGGCAGATATTAATTACATTTCATTAAAAGTGAGTAATATTTACCAAATTTTACAGATGAATCCCGTAATTCACATGTAATACTAACAAGAAAAACATTTAAACTTCTGATGTGATTTTAAACAAGTAATTTCTCAGTGTTTAACATGTAATTATAGCATAAACAATCCAACAATCCAGTTCAATTTCGGCTTAATGCCACATTTTATATGATTATGGTTGTCTTTTATTAATGTACATTTACGCTTAGGTAAGCGAAGAATTTGAAGTTTTTGTATACAAAATTTTGAAATTTTCATACAACAGTTTGAAGTTTTTGTATACAACATTTTGAAGTTTATACAACAGTTTGAAGTTTTTGTAAACATCATTTTGAAGTTCTTATACAACAGTTGGAAGTGTTTGTTTAATACAACATTTTGAAGTTTTTATACAACAGTTTGAAGTTTTTCATACAATGTGCAGTCAGCACTATTCACCATTATTTAATGTGCTATATATTCTATTCTAATATTCTATTAGTTATGTTTAAAAAGTTAATTTTTGCATGTATATTTACAAGTTAAGAGTTTGTTTTATTATGTTTTCAGGCATTATTTCACTAAGGTTTGGTTGGTTATGTTTAAGAAATACTTTGTGTAAAAAAACTGAGAGCCTTTTTAGCACACCTGTGCTAGCTCAGGGTGAGCTTTTAGGGTCGTTGAATGTCTGTCGTCTGTTGTACGTCATTCTTCGTCCGTCTGCATTTGCTGGTGATCACTCTAGTGTTCACATTTTTTACTCAATCATCATAAAACTGTGTGAGGATGTTTGTCTATGTAATTACTCAGATGAGTTCGAACAAGGGTCATCTCGGGTGGAAAATGTCAAAGCAGCTAAAAATAAAAAAATCTTGCGAACACTCTAGTGGCTACTGTTTTGATCAAAATTGATCAGAAAGTTTGTTTCGATGATTTCTAGGTCAAGTTCGAATACATGTAACATGGGGTCAATAACTAGGTCACAATGCCCAAATTTGCAAAGTTCTTGTTAACACTCTAGTGGTCACATTTTTGACTCAATCATAGTCAAACTTTGTCAGGATGCTTGTCTAGGTAATTGCTCGGATGAATTTGAACATGGATCATCTCGGATGTAAAGAACATTTTCAATTGTCATCAAACTGACTTGAAATTTGGACCAAAAAATGTGATTTCTGATGCCGAATTGAATTTTGATATCAACTGACCTACTTTCGATATAAATGATATCGTTTGAACTAGTTTCTCGATACTTTTTAGTGCAGACTTGAAATTTGAATCATGGGTGTAATTTCTGATGCAAAATAGAATTTTGATATCAGCTGACCTACTTTTGATATTATTGATATTATTTGACCTACTTTCTTGCTTTTTGACATACAGACACGGATTTTGGACCAAGGGTGTAATTTTGATGTCCAGTTAAATAATGATTTTATCTGACCTACTTTTGAAATTTTGATATCATTTTACCAACGTTCTTGTTTTTTGACATACAGATTTGAACATTTGGCCAGGGGTGAAATTTTTGATGCTGAATTGAATTTTTATATCAGCTGACCTAATTTTGATATTTTTCATATCTCTTGACCTACAATGAAATGATGGGTCAGGTCTTGAGAGATCTTGGCCCTCTTGCTTTATGAAAATTTACTTGTCAAATTATTTACAAATATTTCATTTCAAGTGTTCCCATGCAAGTCATTATAATATTTTGGAACAAATTTGCAAAACATTTAAAATAATCTCTATTTATAATTTATACCTGTTAGTCATTCTACCCAAATACTCGATCCAACTCGATCTTATCATCCAACAGGGGAGATAATTTTATAACAAGTTTTAAAGAAAAAATGTGATAATTACTTCTTTAGTTTATTATTCAAAATAAAATGACTGCGAATCTTTTTTACTTCCGGTTGAATGATCTCGCATGTATGTGCCATTTCATGTGGATGTCAAATAATGTTATACCAGATCTTGAAGAAGTGGAAATTTTCAAAATATAAAGTCCAGATAAATGATATTTCATTTCTGACAATTTTTAGCTCATCTGTCACTAAGTGACAGGGTGAGCTTTTGTAATCCCTTTTCTCCGTCGTCTGTCCGTAAACTTTTACTTTCAACGACATCTCCTCATAAACAGCTAAGCCGATTTAATCCAGACTTCATAGGAAATGTTCGAAATGTTCCTTTGATGGTCACCTTTAAAAATTGTTCAAATAATTTAATTCCATGCAGAACTCTGGTTGCCATTGGAACCAAAAGACAGAACTTAAAATAACTTAAAATTAGTTTCAGCTACTAGAGAGTTAATAAGATTTATCTATTTTCAGCTCCTGTCACATAGTTTTTGACCCGAGACGACCAATATTCAAATCCTGCAGATGGTGTGAACAAGTTTAAAACAGAATCCTAGAACTTAGTGATAAGGTGATCCTGCAAATAAGAAAGTCCAGAGATGAGAAGTGGAATACCTATGACACTAGTAGACTTCTAAAAACAATATATTCTAAACAAGCTGCAGAAAAGTTGAATTCTAAAATAGTTTTTTCTTTCTTTTTTATTATTCTCTTTTCATTTCATTTTTGGTCAGATTATCATAATAAAATACTGTAATGTTACACTATAGATATATACTGAATGTTAGATTTTATGTTTTTGGAGTTTGATTGTTTTTGTTGTTTTTTTTACATGCATACATTACATTTTCAGTTAACAAAGGTAACAGTTTGACAAAAATAAAGTAAACTCTTCCTTATACGGATAGTATGTCAAATGTTTTCATTTTTCAATGCCTAAATATAACTGCTGCCAAATTATTACGGTAAAACAGATATCGAATGTTTTTACCCTGTCTCCAGTTAAACAATTTCAAACAATTAGATGCTGTTGTATTATTATTTACATATTAACTATATTAGCAAATGGGTTACCCTATCACTAAAAATGTACATTATAAATGTTATTTTGAGGTAAATGATAAAAAAGCTTTACAGTTCATACATGTATATTACAATAAATTAACAACATATATACATATGTGCCAGATGTTTCAAGTTGAATGTATATACGGGAGATATATCCTATTAATGATTAAAATATTAGGCATATGTACTTAGATATGCATTGTACAAAAGAAAGTCTGACTTTCATACTGTTTTTATTTTTCTGATTACTCCCACTTTTATTTTAACATTATAATGAATCCATTAACAAACTCTTTCTTAGTAATTATATAAATTTTACAGTGAAATGAAAGGTTGAGAAACACATGTGTATGAAGCGGTATTTTTTGTATTATTTTTGTCTTTTCTCTTTCTTTTTAATGTAAAATAATTGAACATAAATTACAGCCACAAAGAGTATGATGGTGGATTATTTAAATATGATACAAACTATATACATACTATACATGTACAACAGATGTAGCTCTTTCTATATCTTCAGACAATTTAATTATACAGAGATATGTAAAGATATTATCTTAAAAAAACACACAATCCACAATTAACATGTAGAGCATGCTTGCAGTACTCTATTTATTTATTTATTGATTTATTTCAAATTTTCATTGATATTTCTCTTTTAAATGCTTTTTGCTAAGACTTTTCATTTATCAAAACAGGTCAAATGATCTTAAAACTCTTACTTCTCAGTAATTTCAATCAATACTGTACTAATTATAGTCTAATATTTAAAACAAATAGATTATTTATTCTGATTGTATACAAAACCAACCAGCACAGAAAAGACGTAAATTATGTATATTTTCAATACTGGAACTTAAAGCTGAATTTAATCTTATTTACATATGGCGCGAACTTCATATCGAAACTAAAAAAGTTACATGGCGTACTCAAAATCTTAGCAAACAAAGTAGGCTTGATTTTTTTTCTTATCTCCGAAAATCTTTTTAAGTGTCTATGAATCTAGGATAGATTTTGGATACAGAAGTGACCATTCTATTGTCTGTCTTATAATAAAAACCATGAATCTAGGATGGATTTTGGATACAGAAGTGACCATTCTATTGTCTGTCTTATAATAAAAGGAAACGCTATTAAACGAAATAAGCTCTTCTGGAAATTTAATAACTCATTATTGAAAGATAGTAAATATATTGAACAAATCAAAAAGGTTGTAAAGGAAACGAAACAAATTTATGCTGAAGAAAATCAAAACTTAGATAGAATTACAGATATTGATATAAAATTTAATATAAATGACCAACTTTTCTTTCAAACATTGCTTATGGAAATTCGCGGCAAATCAATTTCATATTCCACCTTCTTAAAAAATACAATCAGACAAAAAAGAAAAAGAGCTTATCGAAAATTTGAATAAACTTCAGGAAAATGAACAAGATAATATTGAGGACGCAATTCGAACTAAAATGAACGAATTAAATACCACAAGAGAAAAGAAATTTAAAGGTTTATAAATAAGGTCAAAAGCAATATGGGTAGATAAAGGAGAAAAACCTACTAAATATTTCTGTTTACTAGAACATCGAAATTATATTAGTAAATGCATGCCCAATTTAATAAAATCTAATGGGGATACAACCGAAACCGAGCAAGAGATTATAAAATAAGTCAAATTTTTTTTATAAAAACCTATATTCCGACAGAAAAATCACAGATATTAACTTAAAAGAACACTTGAATTTTAATGATATTCCTAAATATTTTCTTGACCAAAGTAATTCTATAGAAGGTTCAAAAGAAGAGGCGTCTTTTGCCCTTTCAAATATGAAGAACTCAAAAAGCTCTGGTTCAGAGGTTTTACAGCTTTTTTTTTCTAATTCTTTTGGAAAGATATTGGAGATTTTAATATCAGATTAATAAATTACAGCTGTGAAAATAATGAATTATCAATACTTCAAAAAGAAAAGAAGGTGTCATTATATGTATTCCAAAGGGTGAAAAAAGACAAAAGACTTGTAAAAAATTGGCGCCCAATATCTCTACAAAATGTCTCTTATAAAATCGCATCTGCTTGTATCGCAAATAGAATTTAAAAAATCGCATCTGCTTGTATCGCAAATAGAATAAAAAACTTCCTTTTTATGCCCCGCCATATAATGGCCGGGGCATATAGTGTTACCCTGTTCCATCTTTCCGTCATTCTGTCATTCCGTCATCATCAGTTTCCGTTCATTATCTTAGTAACGGTTGCACACATTCATATGGATATGTCATGAGAAAATACAGGTCAAGTTCGAATTTGGTCGTGGTTCGATGATTTTTGGCAGAGTTATGCCCCTTTTACTTTGAAAATAATATGAAATTTTCAGTTTCCGTTCATTATCTCCCCAACAGTACAACAAATTCAACTCAAACTTGACATATTGATATGTCATTAGAAAATACAGGCCAAGTTTGAATTTGGTCATGGTTCGATGATTTTTGGCAGAGTTATGCCCTTTTACTTTGAAAATAATATGAAATTTTTAGTTTCCGTTCATTTTCTCCCCAACGGTACAACACATTCAACTCAAACTTAACATATGGATATGTCATGAAAAAATACAGGTCAAGTTCGAATTTGGTCATGGTTCAATGATTTTTGGCAGAGTTATGCCTCTTTTACTTTGAAAATAATATGAAACTTTCAGTTTCTGTTCATCATCTCCCCAACGGTACAACACATTCAACTCAAACTTGACATATGGATATGTCATGAGAAAATACAGGTCAAGTTCGAATTTGGTCATGGTCATGGTTTGATGATTTTTGGCAGAGTAATGCCCCTTTCACTTTGAAAATAATATGAAAGTTACAGTTTCTGTTCATTATCTACCCAACAGTGTTACATATTCAACTCAAATTTGACAAAGGATATGTCAAAGGAATGCGCAGGTCAAGTTGGAATTTGGTCATGGTTCGATGATTTTTGGCAGAGTTATGTCCATTTCACTTTGAAAATAATATATACATCTTAGGAATAAGCAGTTTAAGTTTGAATTTGGTCGTGGTTCAATGATTTTGGACAAACTTATATTTCCTGAATGTTGGAAAAATTTTGAACTTTGAGGAGAAAATACAAGAAGCTTATATGACCTTTTTCATTTTACATAAAATATGATATACCGGACCTACTTTTACTAATCGACATTGAAAAGGCTTTTGATTCTCTAGAAAGGGCATTTATATTTAAAACATTAGACTCCTTTAATTTTGGTTGCTCTATTAAGAAATGGCTAAATGCTTTTTACTTTAACATAAAGTCGTGTGCTCAAGCAAATGGACATATCTCGGATTGGTTCTCTATAAAATGTGGCTGTAGACAAGGAGACCCATTATCCCCCTATATTTTCATTCTCTTTGCAGAGGTATTGGCCCGCTTTATACGTAAAAATGACAGTATTACTGGTATTAAAATAGGTAATAAGGAACATCTTGTTTCACAGTACACAGATGACACATCTCTTACTTTGGATGGTACAGAAAAAGCTCTAAAGAATACACTTTTGGTGCTAAAATTCTATATGCTAACGCCTCCGGCCTTCACATTAATATAGAAAAAAAATTATTTGGTTTGGAAGCATGAAAGGAAGTAATATTGAATTTCAAATATGAGAAAATCTGACGTGGGGAAAAAGAAACTTTAACTGTTCTCGGAATTAAATACTCAATCTGAAAGATATAATTAGTCTTAACTATAACGATACAATAGAAGACATAAAATCATTACTGCAACAATGGTCAAAAAGAATTTTTACCACGTAGGGGAAAATAAGTGTTATTAAAACGATGGCTCTATCAAAAATCAATCATTTGCTTATTTCTCTTCCTAATCCATCAAACAAAGTTATTAAAGAACTAGAAACTTTATTTTTCAATTTTCTTTCGAACAATTCCCGAAGATGATAGAATTAAAATCTTTTATTCATTTTTAAAGCTAGGTTTGATTAGACGTATTCTACATGAAAACAAAAAATTGGAAAAATATCTTTGAAAATTCTTTTCCTGATATATGTAATTTTTCCAAATTCGGACCAGATTTTATTAAAAATTAATTATCAAGAATCGACAACCCCTTCTGGAACGAAGTCTTTACATCATGGATAACGTTTTATTCGAAAGTACAAATGATAAATTGGAATGAATATCTCAGGCAACCAATTTGGTTCAATCCAACAGTGAAGGTCGGAGGTACAACAAATTTTTACAATATCTATTTCAAAATAGTATAAGTTTTGTCGCTGATTTAATTGACAATAATGGTCATTCTAAAGTTTACAATCTATACAAAATATTTTACAAATAAATATAAATTTCCTACAATATGAAGGATTTTTAAGAGCGCTAATAAATCTAAGAGTTAAACTTGAAATCAACACTGAAACTTCTAACAATTATAAACCAATAATCTTTATTAAGCAAATTCATGTCATCACGCAAAATATAAAGGGATGTCATTCTATTTTTGAAAAACTTGTAAAAAATAAAAAAAGTTCCGAAATCTCAAGTTCAATGGAAACATGAACTTTTATTACCAGATACTTCCAACACAAATTAATAAATAGAATCTTAGCAACAAATACTTTTTAAACTAAGATTGGAATAAAAGATGATAATATGTGCACTTTTTGCAGGGAAAGTAACGAAACCCTTTTACACTTGTTTTATGAATGTCGGTATGTAAGTCAATTTTGGCGGACTTTAAAAATTTTCATTAAAACTAAATGCCCGAATATTACAGATTATGAACTCTCAAAAGAAGAAATTCTTTTTGGGATAACTGATCCTAAGAAAACGGATGAAACATTAAATTTTATTTTTCTTGTTGCAAAAAGATGTATTTACACGTGTAGGTATAATAACCAAAATTTTAACATGCAAACTTTTCAACTATCTCGTTAGGAGACAATAAATGTGGTTTATTTTAATTGAGATAATGGACCTTTCCAGTGTTTAAAGATTTATGTAAATTGGCTAACTTGTTATCCAATTGCTACACTGAGATAGTACATAGTCACTGGTTTGCACAAAAAAAGTATTTTGTTTGTGATACTGTTTGTGAGCAGTTGACCTAGCAATGAATGGCAAAAACCGGAAATGTCCATCCTTGTCCACGGTGTTTATAAGTATACCTACACATAAAATAATACTTTTATATAATACTTTTTTACTCGTTCTTCAATAACTATCCACGGGAAGACCTAATTTGTTTTTCGTATACACTTATTGTTTAGGTTATCTTGCTGGGGACACTTCGGAAGACAGGATGAAAAAAAATGAAATAAACTGTATATAAATAAAACAAACATCCGTTTATTATTATCATACAATGCAATTATAAACCATTGTTTTCTTCTAATTTTCTTTTTATATATCTCATCAATTTCAAAATTTATGCTTTAAATGTAGTATGAAAATCTTATGTCTCCTTTTTAATGTTTAATGATTTACCGTATGATGTGTATTTGTATGATTATGCATAATTGAACGATTGTATGATTTTGATTTATTAATAAATGGGGTTCCACATTTGTGGACCTGAAGCTGAAAAAAATTCAAACTTGAACCTAGAAATTATAAAAACAACTCTTTTGACCAATTCCAAGGATATTTGGACTGAAACAGTAGCCCCTAGAGTGTTTACAAGGTTTTTCTATTTTTAGCTCGTGACCTAGTTGTTGACCCTAGATTATCAATATTCAAACTTGACTTAAAAATCATTTAAAAAACACCTCCCTGACCAATTTCTAGATTATTTAGATGAAAAACTGCACCCACTAGTCTCTTAACAAGATTTTTCAATTTTTAGGTCCTGTGACCTAGTTTTTGATCGGAGAGGACCCATTTTCGAACTTGACATAGAAAGCGTCAAAACATTTACCCTGATCAATTACCAGGATATTAAGACTGAAACAGTAGCCCCTAGAGCGTTAACATTCTTTTTTTCAATTTTTAACTTCTGTGACCTAGTTTTGGACCCAAGATGACCCACAGTAAAACTATATAAATCATTATAACAACCTCCCTGACAAATTTCAATAATATTTGAATCAAAACTGTAGCCACTAGAGTGTTAACAAAAAAATCTATTTTCATCTCCTGGGACCTAGTTTTTGACCCGAGATTACCCATATTCGAACTTGGCAAGCGCACAAAACGTGGAACGTCCTTTTGGCGTTCATTGAGCGTCATTTGAGCGTCATTCACAAACGTCCATGCATATGTAAAAAGGTTAATTTGATTTTGGGCTATCGTCGAGAACACCAACTATGGAAAACCCTGAAAGAATTAGTAGGCTATATGCTTTCTTAAACATAGCTGAACACATCGTGAGAAGAAGACTACGACGAAGATTTCAGTATTGGGCTAAATCATGAGTATATAAAGGGGAAAAGGTTTGGCAGTAGCTAGTAGGAAAAGCTCTCATCCCAACTTTTTTGTCTTGGCGTTATGATGCTGACTGTTCAAACTCACAAGAACAAGGGAATTCATTGTGTGTTTATTTGAGTTTATTTATACTCAAATTATGGGCGAGTCCTCCAGAAGAGTATTATTCATTTTAGATTTTGGAGATAGTGCAAAATACAGAAAATTGCCCAAATTGTTAGAGCTTCTCCTAGTTCTTTTACGTGAAAAGTGTTTAAGCACTCATACTCCCATTTAAAGTCTCATCCGAAAGTCTGATTAGTAATTTTTAGTTTGCCAGCCCGGGATGGAACCCACAATGTCGAGATTACAAGTCT